AGTACAAATGTGGTATAGGCGTAACACCAGTCCTATGTGGCATGTTTGTGTGTTACTCTTTTAGTTTATCATGGTGTGTGTGTGTGTGTGTGTGTGTGTGTGTGTGTGTGTGTTTTCCTGTAGACTCAGTTCACATCTGTTGTGAAGTGACCAATCTGTGAATTGGTTCTATTTGGGGAAAAGGTTGATGCTTTTTAAATGGATCACTGTTGTATTTGTAGATGATGGCACTGAAAAGGGAAGGGTAATGTGCAGTTCAGGAAAACTAGTTTTTTGTTTTTTTTTTCTCATTGTTAGTAGAAAGTTGTCCCCCCAGTAGTGGAGTAATATATTTAAGCTTGAAGTCTAAAGCAGTAAGAGATGTGAATGCTGTTTGCTTAATGTTTTCTGGTTTTTAATGTTGAAAAGAGTTTCAGTATGTCCAAGGCAAATAGTTTTCTTCTAGAGCTTTAATGCATTGAATCAAATCCATAATTCATTTATATGTGCTTTTATTTAAGGAGGGTTCAGCCTTTTCACTGAATTGTGCCTTTTTGTAGTGCTGATGCTTGTTCATTTTATGAATGCCATTCTAATTAGCACAGCATGTATTGAAAAGATGTGATGTAGTAATTTAGCTTTTTTATTTGGTAATATATCTGAGGCAGCCCCCAAAGAAATAGTCATCTGAAGGAGCAAACATGCTTTTTTTGACCATTAATCATTGAAAGATGAATGATCTTGTTTGCTTGAAATGGTTCAAATGAAACTGGTTCTTGTTACTAGATTTCTCCCAGGTGTGGTGGTGCATGCCCATGAGCTCAGCACTTGGGTGGTGGAAGCGGGACAATCAGAAGTTCAAGGTCATCTTATATATAACAAGTTTGAGGTCAGCCTGGTTAAACACCCAAAACAACAGGCTTCAATCTACTTCTCCTGCCTATCAGAAAGATAGGTTTTGAGACCCTATCTCAAAACCAAATAAAAAACCTACTAGATTTCAATGGATTCTTAAGTTACTCAGAAGCCCATTGCATGTAAGTTGTTTCAGTGGTCGGTATAAACTTTGATTTACATGTGAAAAATGTAGATCACTTATGTCTCTTGTTTGTCTAAAAGTAATAGTATCAATCCATTAACAGGCAGTCAGCTCGGATAGTATTTTTTCCAGTTTTGATAATTTGTCATTGATCTGTCCAAACTATGTAAACTGTTTTTCTTTGTTCAGTCATATATTTTGAAGAAATTGTAGATCAGGGCTCAAGGTAGAATATTTTGTATCCTCTGTTAAGTTTTTCTTTTAAATTGTTGAAAATATTATTTTGTGGTTAATAGTAGTTCATGAACATGACCTTAAAAATTGTTTCCTGTGTGGCACCTAAGTTATTTGTGTGGTGTTTGTGGGTGGAGGTAATGGTGGTGAGGCAGAATAATTCTGTTAATGGGGAGTGGTTGAACCTAGGTTGGTGTAAAGGTAGCAGATTGTGACCTTAGAAAGTCACTTAGCCTACTTAAACTGATTGGTGGTTCAGTCCTGTAATCCCAGCACTCTGGAAGCTGAGGCAGGAGAATCAAGAGTATTGAGTTCAGCCTTGCCTTCATAGTGAGATCCTGTTTCAAA